CAGTGAAATATATTTATGTTTGTGGTTGTAATGTGACAAAATATAGAAAAGTTCAAGGGGTATGAATACTTTTGCAAACCACTGTATATATATATATATATTTTCCAATCTGTATTAAAGCATGCCTGCTCACCAGAAGTTCACCAGGAAAGGATGCTCAAGGTTCTGCATGATCTGCAGCTCTTTCAGGACGTTCCTCACTTCGTTCCGCTCCACACACTTCAGCTTGTTCATGTACTTCATGGCATACATCTTCTTGGTGTCTTTCTTCTGCACTATACAGACCTGTTCAGATCACATAAGGGAGAATCCCTCTTTGCAGTACAATGTGTAAGGTCTGACCGGCCTGAAAACATTCTAATTGCTTTTTTTGCCAAGAACTTCATTAGATAGCTTCCGAATACATTGCAAACACTTACAGTGGACCATTTTGGAGATAAAAATGGTCACGAATGCACAATGTGGACCAAGCTACCATGTTTATTGGGAAGACGCTGAGGTTGTTATGAAAAGGCTATTGTGATTGCACAAATTCAACCGGTAAACTTACACCGTTATACAGACCTACAGTGGTGGGCACCAGCCCGCTAAAGCGCTAATCCACTAATTGCGGACCTAAATATTTCATTTGTGCTTTAGCGGTCTTACTAATTTTTTAATAATTCATAAGCAGATTTGCGCTTTCTAAAATTAAAATGTAGTACCGCTAATAACTAATTATCTACCAGTCATCATTATCTTGAACAGTGGAAGGTAAGTCTGTCAATGAATCACAACATGTGATCTATCCAACAGCACCCCTCCCAGATAAACACACTTATTGAGAAGGTGTACATCTTAGCTGACTGTTGCTTTCRGTCAGTGTTCTCATTTCCCATAATGCTTGTATCTACTTACGTAGCAGGAAAGCAATAGCAAAAGCAGTAAATATTTGTAATCCATAATAAAATTTTGTATGTATTGATTTATTTTAATTTACAATCGGAGCTCCTTTTTATTTAAAATAAAGTTTAAATGCTGGAGTTCAATACTTAACGTAATTGGTCGAAGCAACGGGGTTAGAG